AAAAGCTTCTCACCTGGAAGCTTAAGTACTTAAATTATTTACAACTTATCACCCAGTGAGTTTTCCTCTTATCCCTAGTTGCCAGAAAACTTAAACTTACCTGAATGACTGATGGTAATAAATACTGCATCTACTAACAGTGCTGATTTTCTGTACCTTTTAAATTGATCATACTATTTTACATTTAATATCATAAACTTAAATTATTTTGAGAACAGGCTTTAAATTCTTTATGAGAAATTGGGAAGCTATGTAAAATAAACACGTGGGTTAATAATTAAATACAGGGAAGAGAAATAAATATAATCTGGTGTCTCACATCTGTAATCCCAGGACTTTGGGAGGCCAAGGTGGGAGGATCACTTGAGCCTAGGCGTTCAAGGACAGCCTAGGCATCATAGGGAGACCTGTCTTTGAGAAAAATACGTAAATCAGTAAATTTGTAAAAATGTGTTTCTTGTCCCCATTCGGCACTCCCTTAACACCAGATACCAATAACACCAACTTGCTAGAATGTCACTACTCTGCTAACTCGGCCTCAGAGTTGATTTTATCACCTTCTCCTACTAAAGAGGGCTTTGAGTCCTGTAAGACCTGGACTGAAAGCCCTCAAAGGAGCTGTTACCACAGGAATCCTTTAGGTTTACCACTATTAATCACCCATTTTCCTTTCCATAAGGGACAAGAGAAAGAAGATGGCTTCAGTCATAAATTGGTTCACCCTCAATGAAAGTAATAGGCAGAACATCTGAATATGGAAAGTAGAATGACATTGCAATTTGGGAAATAGTTCCTCAGTCAGGATTCACTGTTTTTTGTTTTGTTTTGTTTTTTGACACAGAGTGTCACTCGGTCACCCAGGCTGGAGTGCAATGGTGACATCTTGGCTCACTGCAACCTCCACCTCCCCAGTTCAAGCAATTCTTCTGCCTCAGCCTCCCAAGTAGCTGGGATTACAGGTGTCCACCACTACCCTCAGCTGATTTTTTTGTATTTTTAGTAGAGACAGGGTTTTACCATGTTGGCCAGGCTGGTCTTGAACTCCTGACTTCAGGTGATGAAGCCACCTTGACCTCCCCAAGTGGGGAATTATAGGCATGAGCTACTGCATCCAGCCATGGATTCACTGTTTTATCTGGAGGATTTTGAAAATTATCAGGGTAGGGGAAAGCAAGTTTTAGATAAAGATGTATTAAACTCAAACAAATCTACTGGTAGAGTCATAGCCAGTTGTAACCATGGTGTTATAATTTCAGAATTAAAATCAGTTTAGTTCCATTAAGAACATAATTTTATCTACATACCTTCAGTTCACTGATGAAATTGTATTCTTCAAAATGTTTCTTTTTCCCCTTAATATATTGCTCAATGGACTCCATTTCCTTAAAATGAGCTTCATGAAGCTTCTTAAAGTCTAGAATGTTCCCCCAATATAAAAATTAATAGCTAAACAAAATCCATTTATATATCTTTTCTGTTTTTCTGTTAACACTTATTTTCTTCTTTGCAGCCCTGACATTCAACTTCAATATAATATGTACTAAAACATTAATTTCAAAATACTTTGTTTTTGGAAACTCGGGAAAAGCACATTCATCTTATAAATTATCAAACATTCACATCTCTGCATTGTCTAATTTCACTAAATTGACATCTTGGTTTAGTTCAGAGGATAAGAGTAGAAGATTTATCTTCTCTGGGCTGAGATTGAGGTAAAAAGAAAAAAGATTTATCTTCTACCAATTAGCTGAGTGTTATTTAATCATGAATTTGGTATTTTATAATGCTCTATGTCAAGGACTGACAAACTTTTTCTATAAAGCGCAAGATAAATTATTTTAGGGCCGAGCATGGCGGCTTATAATCCCAGCACTCTGGGAGGCGGAGGCGGGTGGATCACGAGGTCAGGAGTTCCAGACCAGCCTGGCCAATACAGTGAAACCATCTCTACTAAAAATACAAAAATTAGCGGGCTGTGGTGGTGGGCACCTGTAATCCCAGCTAACTTGGAAGGCTGAGGCAGAAAATTTGCTTGAACCCAGGAGGTGGAAGTTGCAAGTGAATCAAAATTGCACCACTATACTGCAGCCTGCGTCACAGAGTGAGACTGTCTCAAAAAAAGAAAAAAAGTATTTTATGGTGGTATGGTCTCCGTTTCATATTCTTCTTGTTTTTAAATTCTTTTTTTTTCTTCTTCTTCTTCTTCTTTTTTTTTTTTAGTGCTACGATCTCAGCTCACTGAAACTCCCATTTCCTGGGTTAAAGCGCTTCTCCTGCCTCCTGAGTAGCTGAGATTACAGGTGCTGCCACAATGCTCAGCTAACTTTCAGATTTTTAGTAGAGATGGGGTTTCACCATGCTGGCCAGGCTGGTCTCGAACTCCTGACCTCAAGTGATCCACCCACCTTGGCCTCCCAAAGTGCTGGGATTACAGACGTGAGCTACCACTCCCGGCCTTTAAATTCCTTAAAAAATGTAAGAGCCATTCTTAGCTCAAAGGATCTAAGACAGGCCAAAACAGGCAGCAGATTGCTGAATGCGGCTGTATCCTATTCTGATTAAGTATATGAACATTTACTGAATTTTTAATATATGATGAGCAGCATTCTAACTACTATAAATATACAGTACTCAATCAACATTCTATGTGCCAAGCAATGTTTCAACAATACAAGATAGAGAAGAATTACATGTCCAAAAACAGAGTCCCTTAGACTTATGAAAAACTTACTAGAAGGTCAGGATTGTACCAAGTACTTTGTACATTCATTCATCAGATATTTATTGAATCCCTGCTGCATGCTATTTGCTGTGATAGGGAAGCAGCAGTGGAAAATGTATTCTCAATTTATGTATCTATCAATCTGATGAAACAGGTACTGTAGTATAACTACAGTATTTCCACTTTACACTGAGGAAGTGGGTTTATTGAGGATAAGTAAGTTCCCTAATATCTTCAAGCTAAAAAACGAGAGAACTAGAATATAAACTGCTTCCAGCATCTATGCTTTTAGCTATTTCAGTCCAACATCAGTCTGAAGTGGCTCAACCATTACTTATTATGCCTTTGTCTACAAAACTTACTTGGAGTAGTCATTGCAGTTCTTTTATTTTTTCCAGGTTTGGATAACCCATCTGTGTAGAGAGATTTCTTTCTTTCTGAAGGTATCTTTGAATCTTTGTTACCTAAATCCAAAGATACAGAAATAATGAAGAAACCTTGTCTCTTCTGAAAATACAAAAATTAGCTAGGCATGGCGGTGCACACCTGTAATCCCAGCTACTTGGGAAGCTGAGGCAGTAGACTTACTTGAGCCTGGGAGGCGAAGGTTGCAGTGAGCTGACAGCTAACATAGCATCACTACACTCCTGCCTGGGTGACAGGTTGAGACTCAGTCTCAAAACAAAAAACCAAAGGATATTTATGTGGAGTAACTCTGCACAGGGTACTTATTCATTACAAGTGGTAGAACAGTAACTTCACAAAGTTACTAGCAGACACCACCATAAACTGGTGGAAGTTAACACTACTAGTCATAGGAAAAACCAGCACTTGTGCCTCCTAGGGTGCTTACAGAGGAAGCAATAGCATTGCTCTGTGGGATTCCTGCCAATAGCCCATACTCTGAATCTAAACATGAGGACATATTAGACAAACTAAGTCAGAGGAGAAAAAACTAGCCTGTATTCAAAAATGTTGGCCAGGTGTGGTGGCTCATACAGGTAAACTCAGCATTTTGGGAGGCTGAAGTAGGGAGCTCAGGAGTTCGAGACCAGCCTGGGCAGCATGGCGAAACCCCGGCTCTACTAAACATACAAAAATTAGCCAGGCATGGTGGTGTATGCCTTTAGTTCCAGCTACTTGGGAGGCTGAGGCTGAGGCTGCAGTAAGCTGAGATTGTGCCACTGAACTCCAGCCTGGGCAACAGACCAAGATTCTGTCTCAAATAATAATAATTGGGTCTTTCTTTTCAGAAGCCCCTCTCTCTCACTAGAGAGAGCTATTCTCCTTTCTTTCTTTTGCCTACTAAACCTCTGGCATGATCTCGGCTCACTGTAACCTACATCTCCCGGGTTCAAGCAATTCTCCCGCCTTAGACTCCTGAGTAGCTGGGATTACAGTTGTGTGCTTCAGTGCCCAGCTAATTTTTGTATTTTTAGTAGAAACAGTGTTTCACAGCTGGGTGCTGCGGCTCATGTCTATAATCCCAGCACTTTGGGAGGCTGAGGTGGGCGGATCACCTGAGGTTAGGAGTTCAAGACCAGCCTGGCCAACATGGTGAAACCTCGTCTCTAGTAAAAATAAAAAATTAGCTGAGTGTGCTGGCATGTGCCTGTAGTCCCAGCTACTCAGGAGGCTGGGGCAGAAGAATCGTTTGAACCTGAGAGGTGGAGGTTGCAGTGAGCTGAGACTGTACCGCTGCACTCGAGCCTGGGCGATGGGTGGTAGAGTGAGACTCCATCTCAAAAAATAAATAAATAAATAAAACAACAGGGTTTTGCCACACTGGCCAGGCTGGTCTTGAACTCTTGGCCTTAAGTGATCCATCCCCCTTGGCTTCCCAAAGTGCTAGGATTACAGGTGTGAGCCACCGAGCCCAGCCCAACACAGAAATTCTGCGGTGGCTCATACCTGTAATCCCAGCACTTTGGGAGGGTGAGGCAGGTAGACTACCTGAGGTCAGAAGCTCGAGACCAGCCTGGTCAACATGGTGAAACCCCCACCTCTACTAAAAATACAAAAATTAGCCAGGTATAATGGCATGCGCCTATAATCCCAGTTACTCAGAAGGCTGAGGTGGGAGAATCCCTTGAACTAGGGAGGCGGAGATTGCAGTGAGCTGGGATTACCGCACTGCACTCCAGCTTGGGCAACAACACAGCAAGTCTCCATCTCAAAAAAAAAAAAAGGAAAGAAATTGTGTAACATTGTGCTATGGATTGAATTGTGGGTCCCTAAAAGACATATTGAAGTCCCAACAACTGATCCCTATCATATGACCTTATTTAGATATAGGCATTTTTTTTCAGATGCAATAAAGTTAAGATGAAGTCATTTGGACCTTCTTTTAATTTTTTGAGACACGGTCTCGCTGTGTCCAGGCAGGGATAAAGTAGTATGAACATGGCTAATGGCATCCTTAACCTCCTGGGTTCAAGTGACTTTCTCACCTCAGCCTCCTGAGAAGCTGGGACCACAGGTGTGCACCATCATGGCTGGCTAATTCTTCTTTTTGTAGAGACAGGTTCTTACCATGTTGCCCAGGCTGGTCCAGAACTCCTAGGCACAACCAATCCTTCTACCTTGACTTCCTAAAGTAATGGGAGTACAGGCATGAGCCACTATGCCTGACCTATTTGGGTGGATCCTAATACAATATAACTGGTGTCCTATTAAGAAGACATAGAGAATGTCATGCACTGTCAGAGCTAGAGACTCGCATGATACAGCTGCAACCTGTTCTCCCACCTCAGTAAGTCTCCCACCTCAGCCTCCTGAGTAGCTGGGATTAAAGGTTCATGCCTCAGTGCCTTTTCGTATTTTTAGTAGAAACAGGGTTTCATGGCTGGTTGTGGACACCAGGCATCAACAGCCATCGCAAAGTAGTCAGAGGCAAGGAAGGATTCCACCCAAGGTCCCTTGCTGACACATTGATCTTGGACTTCCAGCCTCTATAGAACCATGAAAGAGTAAATTTCTGTTGTTCTAAACCGCCCAGTTTGTGGTACTTTGTCACGACAATCCTAAGAAATTAATGTACATGGCTACTTCTAGCAATTCTGGGTATTTTTTTGACATGGAGTCTTACTGCCACCCAGACTGAAGTGCAGTGGTGCAATCTCAGCTCACTGCAACTTCCACCTCCCGGGTTCAAGCAATTCTCCTGCCTCAGCCTCCCGAGTAGCTGGGACTACATGCTACCACACCTTGCTACTTTTTATTTTTAGTAGACATGAGGTTTTACCATGTTGGCCAGGCTGGTCTTGAACTCCTGACTTCACGAGATCTGCCTGCCTCGGCCTCTCAAAGTGCTGGAATTACAGGTATGAGCCACTGTGCCTGGCAGCAATTCTGGTTTTTAGAAAGTTACCTGACATCGAGACCATCCTGGTCAACATGGTGAAACCCCGTCTCTACTAAAAATACAAAAAATTAGCTGGGCATGGTGCCGTGTGCCTGTAATCCCAGCTACTCAGGAGGCTGAGGCAGGAGAATTGCCTGAACCCAGGAGGTGGAGGTTGCGTTGAGCCGAGATCGCACCATTGCACTCCAGCCTGGGTAACAAGNAAAAAAAAGTTACCTGACATACCATTTATTCCACGTTTTCCTGAAGAAACAGCATTCTTAGCTCCTTGGTGCTCAACTGCAGAATAAACTCTTGCAATAGCACTGAAATCCTGGCTTTCCTGCTTTTCATGATTCTGGAATTCAGTCGGATCACTTATTTTTATCTCTGAATGATCCTGCTATAAATTTAAAAAAGGAAATAAAAGGTTTCGATGATAAATAAGAATTGCTGCCTTCTAAAGATAGGTACCAAAATGAGGAAAAAAAGGGGTCAAAGGAAGAAAGTAGGAGAATGAGATTTTTGGTGGCAGATTTGGTTCTCTGAATTATTAAGTGTCATGAGAATATACATTTGAGAATAAGAGATACTAGGGCACATTAACAGGTAAAATAGAAATGGCAAGATTAGCTCTCTCAGCAAGGACAAATGAAGAAACCTAGATAGTCTACTGATCAAATAACTATATGAAGATAGAAAAGAAAATTAATACAGTGTTTTGGGGCCAGGCATGGTGGCTCACGCCCGTAATCCCAGAACTTTGGGAGCTTGAGATGCGTGGATCACCTGAGGTCAGGAGTTTGAGACCAGCCTGGGCAACATGGTGAAATCCCGTCTCTGCTGAAAATACAAAAATTAGCTGGGCATAGTCGTGGGCACCTGTAATCCCAGCTACTCGGGAGGCGGGGGCAAGGCAGGAGAATCGCTTGAACCTGGGAGGCAGAGGTTACAGTGAGCCGAGATCATGCCTTTGCACTCCATACTGGACAACGAGAGTGAAACTCCACCTCAGAGAACAAACAAAAAAGGCTGGGCATGGTGGCTCACGCCTGTAACCTGTAATCCCAACACTTTGGGAGGCCGAATTACTTGAGCTCGAGACCAGCCTGGCCAACATGGTGAAACCCCATGTCCACTAAAAATGCAAAAATTAGCTGGGCATGGTGGCGGGCGTCCTGTAATCCCAGCTACTCAGGAGGCTAAGGTAGGAGAATTGCTTGAACCTAGGAAACTGAGGTTGCAGTGAGCCGAGATCGAGCCACTGCACTCCAGCCTGGTGCCTGGTGCCAGAGCAAGACTGTCTCAAACAAAAAAAAAAAAAAAAAAAAAAAAAAAAAAAAAAGCACATTTAATGCTTGTTTCTCTTTTCTTCCTATCTACTACACTTCACTTAAGTAAACCCTTAATGAATGTTCATAGTTATACAACCAATATTTAATGTGAACTTAATACTTAAAAAGTGCTTCCTGAGGGAGAAGCCCTGAGATGCAGTAATGAGCAGCTGGACTTGGGTCTGTTTTTTTTTTTTTCCATTTTTGTTTTGATTTTCTTTGGGTCTGGGTTTTCATGGAGCTTACGGTACACAGTAAGCTTACAAACACGTGACATCATATGGGAATTTAAAAAAAAAAAAGCTTCTTAAGAATATGCCAATTTTGGCATAGGTGGTGGTATATTTTCAGTTTGTAAATATCCATTCACCTGGGAGTCAGGGTCCACACGGACAGTCTTGTGCCTTCTCCTTGTTTTGGTGACATGGCCGGTTGGCTCTCTCTCGGCTTGTTCCTGGCTGCTGATCTGTATCTCAGTCTCATGATAAGAGGATGCAGAAATTTGACTTTCATCCTGAAAAGAGAGGTATTAATCTGCTATGTGCTATGTATATAGTTATAATGCTCAGAAAGAATAAGCATTTAGACTGAATAAAAAACATATTACAGATGCAAAAGAAAAATTTTAAAACTCTCTAACACTAAATTGTTGGCAAAGACAAGAATTATAGACTATTCAGGCCAGGCATGGTGGCTTATACCTGTAATCCCAGCACTTTGGGAGACCATGTCAAGTGGATCACCTGAGGTCAGGAGTTTTTTGATGGCTGGAAAACTTGATCCATTCTCATTCTTTCACACCAAAATGAAATCTGGAGGGATCAGTTTATTTTATTATATTTTTTGGAGACAGGGTCTTATTCTGTCACACAGGCTGGAGTGCAGTGTCACAATTAGGGCTCATTGGAGTGTGGACCTTCTGGGCTCAGGCAATCCTCCCACTTCAGCTGCCTGAGTAGCTGGAACTATAGGTGTGCACCATACCTGGCTAATATTTTGTATTTTTTTGTAGAGGATGGGGTTTTGCCATGTTGCCTGGGGTCATCTAGAACTCCTCGGCTCAAGGGATGTGCCTGCCTCAGCCTCCTGAAGTGCTAGAATCACAGGCATAAACCACCGTGCCTGGCCTTTAAATTAAAGATTTAAATGCAAAAGTTGAACTATAAAAGCACTAGAAAAGAAATGGATGAATATATTATCATGAATGTGAGGACGTCCTTCTTTTTTATATTTATTTATTCTTGCTCTGTCGCCCAAACTGGAGTGCTGTGGCCCAACCTCAGCTCACTGCAACCTCTATCTCCTGGGTTCAAGAGATTCTCCTGCCTCAGTGTCCCAAGTAGCTGGGATTACAGGCATGTGCCACCACGCCTGGCTAATTTTTTGTATTTTATTTTTGAATACTTTTTTGAAACAAACAGGGTTTCACTGTGTTAGCCAGGCTGGTCTTGATTTCCTGACATCATGTTCCCCACATTAGCCTCCTGAAGTGCTGGGATTACTGGTGTGAGCCACACTGCCCAGCTAAGGAAGTCCTTTTTAAGCATGTTATCTTACCTGGAAACTAAAAAGGAAAAGCTTGATTTGGTTTTGGCGTTTAGGCATTTTGTTATAAGTAAATGCTAATTAAAAAAGATAAACCAATACATACATATGGCTGAAAAAAATCAAATACCATAGAAAATATTGTAATGAAAGCAATTGGGGCCGGGTGTGGTACCTCATCTATAATCCCAGCACCTTGGGAGGTAGATGGGAAGGATTACTTGTGGTCAGGAGTTGAAGACTAGCCTGGCAAATATGGTGAAGCCCTGTCTCTGCTAAAAATGCAAAAAATTAGCTGGGCATGGTGGCACGTGTCTGTAATCCCAACTATTCGGGAGGCAGAGGTTGTAGTGAGTCCAGATCGCACCACTGCACTCGAGCCTGGGCGACAAAGTGAGACTGTGTCTCAAAACAAAAAAAGAAAAGCAATTGGTTCTCTGCCCAACCTTGTTATTCATGAGGCTTAAGTTCAGGTTGTTATTTATATATCTCTAGTGATTTGCTGACAGGATGGGGTATTCATTCATATTTTCCGATTTTTAGTGCCTATCACATGCTAAAGTTTAGCTTATTTGTACTCTTATCTTCCTAAGAGAATTACACCACTTTTGCCACTCTATTACTTTTACTGTTTTTTCCTTTTGAGACAGAGTTTTGCTCTTGCCACCCAGGCTGGAGTGCAATAGGGTGATCTTGGCTCACTGCAACTTCCACCTCCTGGGTTCAAGCAATTCTCCCGCCTCAGCCTCCTGAGTACCTGGGACTACAGGTGCATGCCACTACACCTGGCTAATTTTTGTATTTTTTTTGTTTTTGTGTTTTGGATGGAGTCTGGCTCTGTCACTCAGGCTGGAGTTCAGTGGCGTGATGTCAGCTCTCTGCAACCTCTGCTTCCCGGGTTTCAAGCAGTTATCCCACCTCAGCCTCCCAAGTAGCTGGGATTACAGGCTTATACCACTATGCTTGGAAGATTTTTTTTAGTTTTTTGCAGAGACAGAGTTTTGTCATGTTGGCCAGGCTGGTCTCAAAATCCTGACCTCAGGTGATCTGCTTGCCTTGGCATCTCAAAGCGCTGGGATTACAGGCGTGAATTATCATTTATGAAACATTTATAGTCTGTTTCATAATCTTATTTTTTCTGTCTCTTTCTGTTTTGTTTCATCATGTTGGTCAGGCTGGTCTTGAACCCCCGACCTCAGGTGATCCGCCTGCCTTGGCCTCCAAAGTGCTTGGATTACAGGCATGAGACACCACGATTGGCCCTGTTTTTGTTTTTTTTGAGACAGGGTCTCACTCCCATTGCCCAGGATGGAGTACAGTGGCATGATCTTGGCTCACTGCAGCCATGACTTCCCGGGCTCAAGTGATCCTCCCACCTTAGCCCCCCCAGTAGCTGAGCTAGGACTACATGGGCACTCCACCACGTCCAGCTAATTTTTATATTTCTTGTGGAGACAGAGTTTTGCTATGTTGTCCAGGCTGGTCTCAAACTCCTGGGCTTAAGCAATCTGCCTGTCTCAGCCTCCCAAAGTGTTGGGATTTCAGGTGTTAGCCACCATGTCTGGCTTTGTTATATAACCTTAATTGTATCATCTATGCTTAGTCTACCTAGATTTAAGAGTTGATAAATCAGTAAGTCATTGTAATACTTTTTAAAAAACAAGCTGGGCCAGGTGTGGTGGCTCACACCTGTAATCCCAGCACTTTGGGAGGCCAAGACAGGCGGATCACGAAGTCAGGAGATTGAGACCATCCTGGCTAACATGGTGAAACCTCGTCTCTACTAAAAATACAAAAAATTAGCTGGGCATGGTGGCATGCGTCTGTAGTCCCAGCTACTCGGGAGACTGAGGCAGGAGAATTACTTGTACCCAGGGGTTGCAGTGAGCTGAGATCATGCCACTGCACTCAAGCCTGGGCAACAAGAGCAAACTCTGCTCAAAAAAAAAAAAAAAAAAAAAAACCCACAATATAAGTAACTAATAGAGTGACTCAAGTTGTATAATTCTCTTACAAAGATGATGGCAAGATGAGACTCCATCTTGAGAAAAGGAAAAAAAAAGCTGTTGGCCAGATGCAGTGGCTCATACCTGTAATCCCAGCACTTTCAGAGGCCAAGGTGTTGGCCAGGAACTCGAAACCAGCCTGGCCAACATGGAGAAACTCTGTCTCTACTAAAAATACAAAAAAATTAGCTGGCCATCGTGGTGTGTGCCTGTAATCCCAGCTACTCGGGAGACTGAGGCAGGAGAATCGCTTGACCCGGGAGGCGGAGGTTGCGGTGAGCTGAGATCACGCCCTTGCACTCCAGCCTGGGCAACAAGAGCGAAACTCCATCTAAAAAAAAAAAAAAGAAATTGGTACAAAGGTAAAATGTTCTAGAGGAGCAATAATTGCATTTTTGCTAGGGAAAGTAAGTCCAGGAGGATGATGCATGAGAATCACTTAAACCTGGAAGGCAGAGGTTGCAGTCAGCTGAGATCATGCCACTGCACTCCAGCCTAGATAACAGAGCAAGACTCTGTCTCAAAAAAATAGAATAAAACAGCAAGCTGTCAGTTATTTTTTGTATTATCTTCATTTCCCTTAGGGTCATCTTTTTATTTTCTTCTTTTTTAGAGACAATATCTTGCTCTGTTGCCCAGCTGGATTACAGTGGCTTGCTCATAGTTCACTGCAGCCTCTATTTCCTGAGCTCAACTGACCCTCCCGCCTTACCCTCCCAATCAGCTGGGCCCACAGGTATGTGTCACCACACCAAGCTAATTGTTTCAATTTTGCAGAAATAGGGTCTCCTTATGTTACCCAAGCTGGTTGTAAACTCCTAGGCTGAAGTCATCCTCCTCTTTAGCCTCCCAAAATGCTGGGATTATAGGCATAAGCCTCTATGCCCAGTCCATTTTCTTTTTAGCTTTCCTCAAATGTCTCATGACTGTTGGCTGTCTATTTGTAAAACTTCTTTTTCTTTTTTTTTTTTTTTTGAGACAGGGTCTCCCTCTGTCACCCAGGCTGAAGTGCAACGGCATGAGCCACCACACCCGGCCAACAGCATGTCTTAAATCATCACTAGTTGTGTGTTAATTGCCCATTAACTACATATGATTGTTTTGCTAGCTAACAGGTAAACATAAAAAAACATTACTCACCAGATTCTCATTTCCTTTTCTTGCCTCACAATTAATGTGGCCTTTCACAGCTTTTAACAACTGGTCTGCCTGCAAGAGAGATCTTATAATCAGAGCCAAAAATCAAACAAGAAAGACAAGGAATGTACTCTGGTCAGACCACAGGACAAGAACCATTACTTAGATAGAAGAGGGTCTCTGCTCTAAGGAATTTCACATCTGAGTGGAAAAGTTAGACAAGGAAAGAGGCAATTGCAATACAGTGGGGTAAATGCCCATGCTATGAGGCTCAGGCTGTCTTGGGAACATAGGTAGGTGTGGCCATTAAAGTTGGGACTGCTAGGGTAGACTTCAGCAAGTATCTGCACAGGGCAGTTCTCAGATAAAGATGTGCTGTCTCTAATTGCTGAGATCTAAAGGATGAACAGGAGAGCTGAACGTAGAGAAACAGGTAGAGGAACAGCACAGCAAGGCAACAATGAGGGTGGAGTTTGCAGAACTGAAGTTCAGTGTGGCTGGAGCATGCAGCTGTTGCAGGAGATAGCAGGAGACAATGCTGGGAAAGTGAGCAGGGGCCTCATGTTGCCAAGCCTTGTAAGCCTTTAAAGAGTATGAACTTTACTCTCAGAGAAAAAGGGCAGTCTCTGAAGAGTTCGCAGCAAGGCAGTGGGTGACCAGTTTTGCATTGCTCAGAATGATTACTCTACCTGCACAGTGTGCAAGATGATTTTGATGAGGATGAGACTGAAGACAAAGAAACAGCTAGGAGGCTAATGTAGGAAACCAGAATTGCTGTGGCCTGAATTAGAGCAGGGTTAAGGCAGTCTGGATGGAGTCAAAACCTTCTTAGGAAGTGAAATCAGTGTGAACATGAGAGTTGAAGAAGAGGGAAACTTTGTTAGGCCAAGGTTTCTGGCTTGGACAGCTGGCGAAGTGTGGTGCGGTCCCTAAGATGAGGAATGCAAAAGGTGATAGGGTCTCAGGGGGATGGTTATAGGTCCCTGTGAAGGAAAGGGAACACCGAGCTTCTCTTCCCAACCTAGGAAAGCTTCCCTTGTTGTTCTTTCCTGAAAGAAGAATATTAATTTGGTTGGTTACATTTTTCTGTGCTTTAAAAGTCAAGTTTATTGGTTGGGTTCTCTTTTCTTCCTCTTCCACCCAGCCGTGCAGTTGAGGGCCGGAGCCATCCTTCTCAACGTGTGCCCAGCCACCAGGTTTGGCTCTATTCTTCTTACACCTTTATGATGGCCCATGTGTCTAGTAGAGAGAACGGCAAAGATGCTGAAATTTGGTTTGTGCTGAAGCTTTTGCTTGTGGTGCAAGTCTAAGCCAAATCTTCCAATCCACTATACCAGAATGCTCTGCATCGACATATCAGGCACCATTTCAGCTAGTAATATAAAGTGGTATCTTATTTTCTACTTGTTCCTTGAATCACCCTTGGGGTTTTCTCTGGGAAGGGGGTGATTGGCAGGTCAGAATTCAGGCGTTCTTGATTCTTCTAACACCTTCTTAATATACCTTCAAAATCTCACCAAACATACAAAAATGAATGAAGTGAGGCACCTGTGGCAGAGCCGAGTGAGGAGGCTGAACGATATGAGGTGGTGTTCAAGAGTTGTGCTAGAGGTGCAGATGTTAGTTATCAGCATACATTCATGCATTCCTCCAACAAGCTTTTATTGTGCTGGGCACTATTCCAGACACTAGAGAGTAGTGAATTAAACAGACAAGGTAACTGTCTTCCAGGATCTTCTAGCAGTGGTGAAACAGTCTGTTACCCAAGAAAGCTAGAAATGAATGATATGACATGAGGTATTATGAAGCAAAAATAAAACTGGGCAGCTGGGGTGGGGTGGGGATGCTACCTGAATTAGGATGGTTCGGAAAGGCCACTCTGAGGTGGTGGCCTGAACTAAGATGTGAATGAGGCAAAAGCACTCCAAGCAGGGTGAGCACCACAAACAGGAGCCCTGAGATGGACCCATGAGTTGAAGGACAGAAACTGCCCTTACGGTAGGAGCATGGTGAACACTGAGGTGGGAGGAAGGCAGGGAGATCAGAGGTGACCACAGGGTGGGTCAAGTAGAGAGGCAAAGACCACAGCCAAAATTAAGAATTTTTGTAGGGCGTAGTGACTCAGGCCTGTAATCCCAGCACTTTAGGAGGCTGAGTCAGGTGGAGCACCCAAGATCAGGAGTTCAAGACCAGCCCGGCCAATATGGGGAAACCCTGTCTCTACTAAAAACACAAAAATAGCTGGGCGTGGTGGTGGGTGCCTATAATCCCAGCTACTCAGGAGGCTAAGGCAGAACTGCTTGAACATGGGAGGCAGAGGTTGCAGTAAGCCAAGATCACACCACTGCACTCCAGCATGGATGACAAGAGAAAACTTAAAAAAAAAAAAAAAAAAAATTTCTTCTTCCCCTAACATGTTATTAGAAAAAAATGTCAGGCCTATAGAAAAGTCACAGTAGTATAATAGACACTCATATTTCCCACCAAGATTCAACAATCATTTACATTATCTCATATTTGGTTTCTCTATATTAATATATATTTCTTGTGAAAGAATTTGAAAACACGTCCCAGACTTTACTACTAAATATATGAGCCACATCTCCTAAAAATAAGGAAAAATTTTCCCACATAAGCTTTAATACATCTGAATACTGAGGAAAAGCAGTAATTTCCTAATATTACCTACTATGTAGCCCATAAAGAAATTTCTCTCCAATTTTATGTCTCCAATTTTAGCTATTTTCTTTTAAAAAAGATTTCCTTTCAAATCAAGATCAAATTGTTACACTCATTACACTGCAAAGAGTTTAGATTTTATTTTAGATGTGAGAGAAGTCACTGGAGGGCACTAAGCAGAAAAAGACATGTTCTAAGTTTCTTTCTTCTTTTTTTTTTTAGACAGAGTTGTGTTCTGTTGCCCAGGCTGGAGTGCAGTGGCGTCATCTTGGCTCACTGTAGCTCCTCCTCTCAGGTTCAAGGGATTCTCGTGTCTCATCCTCCCGAGTAGCTGGGATTACAGGCGCACGCCACCATGCCTGGCTAATTCATACATACATACTTTTTTTAGTAGAGACAGGGTTTTGCCATCTTGGCCAGGCTGATCTCAAACTCCTGGCCTCAAGCAATCCAACCATCTAGGCCTCCCAAAGTGCTGGGATTACAGGCATGAGCCACCTTGCCTGCTCTTTCTCTTATTTTTTTTAAATTTTTTCCCTAAGTTTCAAATATCACTCTGACTACCAAGAGAACACTATTGTGAGGTTAAGAGTAGAGGCAGGAAGCCCAGTAGGGAGACTGAGGCAGTGGTCAAGAGATGACAGTGCCGTGGTCACAGGTTTGCAACATTAGAGATGGTCCCCAGAGGTCAGATTTCAGGTCTATTTAGGAGAAGGTGCTGACAAGATTAGACAGCTGTGGGTGAAGAAGAAAGTAATCAAGAGAGATCCAAACTGGGTCTGAACCATGTACTGAGAGGAAGACACTGTCGATGCTTGGAACTGCCTGTGTTGTTGAAAACACACTGAAATACATCAGTCAGCATCTCAGGGGAGAGGTCCTACTGGAGATGTGGGTTTGGGAGGCATTAGCTTCTGCGTAAATTTAAAGTTACGGAAGTGGTCTGGACACGGTGACTCACGCCTATAATCCCAGCACTCTGGGAGGCTAAGGCAGGTGGATCACTTGAGATCAGGAGTTTGAAACCAGCCTGGTCAACATGGTGAAACCCTGTTTCTACTAAAAATACCAAAAAATTAGCCGGGTGTGGTGGCGGGTACCTGTAATCCCAGCTACTTGGGAGTCTGAGGCAGGAGAATCACTTGAACTCGGGAAGTGGAGGTTGCAGTGAGCTGAGATCACACCACTGTACTCAAGCCTGGGTGACAGAGCAAGACTGCGTCTTTAAAAAAAAAAAAAGGCTGTGCACAGTGGCTCATGCCTGTAATTTCGGCACTTTGGAGGCCAAGGCAGGTGGATCACGAGGTCACGAGATGGAGACCGGCCTAGCCAATATGGTGAAACTCCATCTCTACTAAAAATACAAAAATCAGTTGGATGTAGTGGCCCATGCCTATAATCCCAGCCACTCGGGAGGCTGAAGCATGAGAATTGCTTGAACCTAGGAGGCGAAGGTTGCAGTGAGCCAAGATAGTGCCATTGCGCTCTAGCCTGGTGACAGAGTGAGACTCTGTCTCGCAGGAGGGGGAATGGGGTAGACAAGATCACCAAGAGATAGAGCACAGTTAGAGAAAAGAGCCAAGGAGAGAGCCCTGGGCACTCCACGTTTAGAGATCTGGCAAAGAACCAACTAAGAAGTCTAGAAAGAAGTTCTAGTAAGGCAGGATAGAGTGAAATATCAAAGTCTACAACAGAAAGTGGCTGAATCAGAGAGGAATGTTCAATCTTGCCAAATGCCACTGATAGGCACAGGTGAGGGAAAGACGAACACAAGCTTTGTAAGATGGTGACCTTAATAAAAGCAATTCCAGTAGAAAAGAACAGAGAAATCCGGCAGAAGATGGAATGAGGACATGGGGTCAGGAGAAGATTTTGGCTTTTTATTTTTTTTAAAGATGGTGATAGTAAAACATTATTGCATGCCTTATGGCAATAAGCTAGCAGAGTGGAGAAACTGATGCAGGAGAGAGGCTCTAATTGTGGGAATGTAGTCCTGAGGGAGGCAGGAGGGCCCAGGATCTTCAGCATAAATGGAAAGGCTGCCTTTAGATGTTGAGAAACTTAACTTTACCCTGCCCCCATGGTTCCTTTGTGGGGAATACCTGTTAGTTTGTAATTAGTGGTAGGTCGGTATCAGCTGTGTATTAATGAGACTCACCTGTCTAAGAGCAACTAAATACGTGGATGAAAGTCTGCTCTGGGCCCTCAGCCTGGAGAACTGTAAGCCCCACAGGCTCTCAGGCTGTTGGTCCCCAGGTTAGATCCACTCTGTTGTGCTATCTGGGTGTCTGCCTCTCAAATACCTTCAGTGCTAGAAGGTTTGGTGGTGGGACAAAGCCCACGGGCTCAAGCCTATAATACCAGCACGTTGGGAGGACAAGGCAGGAGGATCGCTGAATCTCAGGAGTTGGAGACCAGATTGGCAACATAGTGAGACCTCATCTCTTAAAATTCAAAAAAACTTGGCCAGGCATAGTGGTCATACCTGTAGTCCTAGCTACTCAGGGGTCTGAGGTGGGAGGATTGCTTGAGCCCTAATCACACCATTGCACTCCAGAGAACTCCAGCCTGGCTGACAGAGCAAGAGCCTGTCTCAAAACAAACAAACAAAAAAAAAGGTCGGGATTTGGTGGTTGAAGGATGAGGTAGTTTTCTGTTGACTGCATATATTTTCCCATGATCTATGAGGTAAAGTCATCAAGGGAGGGAAGGAAGCCAAGTTGAGTCAAGATGATAAGAAGTATCAAAAGTAGGAAAGTTCATGACTAACAAGGAAATGGGCCAGGTATGGTGGCACGTGCCTATAATCCCACCTACTTGGGAGGCTGAGGTGGGAGAATGGCTTGAGCCTGGTAGATTGAGGCTGCAATGAGCCCTGATTATGCCACTGCAGCCTGGGCAACAGAACGAGACCTTATCTCAAAAAAAAAAAGGAGGATCAAATTCTCATTTTAAGGTTTACAGTCATATATCTAAAATTAGCTCAGTCAACAAAGTAACAAAGTTGGGTATTTTTCTCCAGCTAGAGTTAGCTGCAGACGTATAAGCAAAGATTAAGCACATAGCTGGGTTTAATCAGGCTTGGGTTTTGCCAGGTGAGTAGAGGGAGGTACAAGGAAGTGGAAATAGTGCCAGTATTTGTAATTTAAGCTCACAAGAAAGTATGTGAGGACATGATTGAGAAAAGGTCCAGTGGCCACACAAACATTAATACCTGGTTTCTTCAGTTTGCTTTACCATTAAGAGAAGTCTCTCAAAACAAAGAGCTAATATTCTCTCCTGTAAATTTATTATTATTATTATTTTTAGACGGAGTTTTGCTCTTATCGCCCAGGCTGGAGTGCAATGGTGAGAACATCCATCACTGCAGCATCCGCCTCCCTGGTTTAAGCAATTCTCCTGCCTCAGCCTCCTGAGTAGCTGGGATTACAGGTGCCCACCACCACGCCCAGCTAATTTTTGTATTTTTAGTAGAGACAGGGTTTCAACATGTTGGCCCGGCTGGTCTTGAACTTCTGACCTCAGGTGATCCACCTGTCTTGGCCTCCCAAATGCTGGCATTATAAGCAGAAGACACCATGCCCAGTCATAAAATTATTAATAATATCATGCTAGTAAAATTTATTTAAATTGTATTGTTTCATTTTCATCAAATCTTGATAATTTCTCAGAGAAATTTATTAATATTTTTGCTATGTACTAGAATTTCAAAAGGCAATTGACTTAATGAGCTCTTTTTTTTTTTTTATTTTTTATTTTTTTTAAGACGGAGTTTCACTCATGTTACCCAGGCTGGAGTGCAATGGCGCGATCTCGGCTCACCGCAACCTCCGCCTCCTGGGTTCTGGCAATTCTCCTGCCTCAGCTTCCTGAGTAGCTGGGATTACAGGCACGCACCACCATGCCCAGCTAATGTTTTGTATTTTTAGTAGAGACGGGGTTTCACCATGTTGACCAGGATGGTCTCGATCTCTTGACCTTGTGATCCACCCGCCTCGGCCTCCCAAAGTGCTGGGGATTACAGGCTTGAGCCACCGCGCCCGGCCTTAATGAGCTCTTGGGATGTACCAATAGTAAGTAATTTAAAACATATTACGGAAAATTTCAAACCTACAAAACTGGAGAGAATAGTACAATTCCATATCACCAGTTTCAATAATTATTAACATTACGCTATTCTTATTTCTCCTAGTTTCCTCCTTTTTCGAGTATTTTACAGCAAATTTTGCAGTTATCATGACTTTTCACCCGTAAATACTTGATATGGACCAGGTGTGGTGGCTCATGCCTGTAATCTCAGCACTTTGGGAGGCCATGGCTGGAGGATCACTTGAGCTCAGGAGTTCAAGACCAACCTCAGCACTAAAAATACACACACACACACAAAATGAGCCAGGCAGGCAGACAGACAGACAGACAGACACACACACACACACACACACAAACACACACACACAAGCCAGGCAGATAAAGGAGAAAGAAGGGGATCTGAGGCCAAAGGGTCAAAATAAGCAATTGCACAAAGATGGATAAAAGTGCCAAGTGTTCAGGGATGCAGCCTTGGATAAAAGATTCCAGCCAGGAAGCAAAAAAGCCTAAGGAATTTATAGAGGAGCCATTAACCACTATAGCTCAGAAATATCCCCAAGGACAACCCTTTGGTCATTCAGCCCCAACAGGCACCTGGCTCTAATTATTTTATTTAAACCATTTAAAAACGTTTGTGATGACTTAGGCATTTCTTCAGTGTCAGTATCATAGCCTGCAAGACAAACCTCCAGAGTATACAGCAGTATTAAGTGGAAAGTCTCAACTGTTAACAAAATATATAAAACTACAATCCTACATCGAATGCCCAAACCTTCCTTTTCTTTTTTTTTTTTTGAGAAACAGAGTCTGGCTCTGTCACCGAGGCTAGAGTGCAGTTGCGTGATCTCGGCTGACTGCAACGTCCGCTCCAGGGTTCGAGCTATTCTCCAGCCTCAGCCTCCCAAGTAGCTGGGATCACAGGGGTGGGCTACCACGCCTGGCTAACTTTTTAATGACTCGGCTGGTCTCCAACTCTTGACCTCAGGTGATCCGCCTGCCTCGGCCTCCTAAAGTGCTGGGATTACGGGTGCAAGCTACCGCGCCCGGCCAGTTTTCCTAAGCATCTTGCAGCCTCGGAGTCAAAGACCTTACTGGTTTTGAACGAGACCATTACCACAATAGTCATCAATAAGTAAGTGACTACAGTAGATCAGCGCTGAGTTATAAAAATTCACCCACGGAGGTGGTCCCCTAAAAGTCGCTTTTTTTTTTTCTGACAGGTCCACCAACAAAGCATCAAGAAATTATCGGCAATATTACAAATCACTGAAGTCTAACTGTTGGTGAGTTTTCCAGCAGCTAAGCCAATTATGTATTTAACTGTCTAACAATTAACAACAGGGCTTTCTGGGTCTGCGTTTCGTCGTCAATGCCCTGAGAGGTACAAAGTAATTTCAAAAACAAAACAACAAACCAGCCCTTTCGGAACTGAGGCTTATCACATGAACACCAAGAGCAGCCAGCCTCAAAATGAGGTGAAAACTACAGTTCTTCTTCCGTTTCGCTGAGTTCTAACTGGGACCACCGAGAACTACATCTACAGCCCGAGAGGCAGGGACAGCGCTCTCAGCCCCCTGGCTTCCCGCTCCGTCCCTGGGCACCACATCTCCCCGAGGCCGCTATTCCCGCCGCGCCCGCCCAGCAGCCTGCACCGCCAGCGCCGTACCCTCAGGTTGGCCCGGAGACGCAGACTCTTGGCTAATTTCTGCAGGTCGCTGTACTTGAGGGAGTCCAGCTCCTCTAGGGAGGGGACGACCATCGCGATTCGAAATTCCGGCGATACGCAGAAGACGGATCACAACACTCAGGCAGCGCGGTTGAAATCCCTGGCTCCAAACAGAAATTTCATACAGTTTAAAAATGAAGAATGCCGCGCTTCCATTGGTTGAAAATGCCTCAAAGGCGGGATTTCTAACCCTGACCAATAGAAAGGCTGATTTCCCGTCCCATCAGACGCGCGCTTCTCCCACATCTCAGGAATGCGCGGGCGCCTGAAGGGCCTGTAAGGCGTGTGCAGGTAACGAGCGCCGAGCAGAGCCCGCTGCCCACGATGTCCAATGACGGCGCAGGAGCTGTGCTTGGGGCGGGGCCTAGCGTGTATTCGAAACTGAGGCGCCGGCTGCAGGAAGATGGCGGCTCAGTCGCGGCGGTGTGTTTCTCCGCGTGCAACGCCGCCCCAGGTTGACTTTTGTGATGGCACTGAGAGGACGATTGACGAAGCTTCTTTTACGACTTCCATGGAGTGGGATACTCAGGTGGTGAACGGGTCCTCGCCGCTCGGCCCCGCGGGGCTGAAGGCTGAGGAGCTGGCCTCCGGCCAGCAGCTACCGTCTTGGCTGCAGCCTGAGCGGTGCGCTGTGTTCCAGTGTGCACAGTGCCACGCAGTGCTCGCCGATTCGGTGCATCTCGCCTGGGACCTGTCGCGGTCCCTCGGGGCCGTGGTCTTCTCCAGTGAGTGCATTGCGGCATTCGGGAAAGGTAGAGGCGAGCCCGACAGGCTGTTCCGATTTCTCCATCGGTGGAGGAGAACCACCGGGGGAAGAAAACGGGGTGAAAATTTGGAACACAATAAGTCCGTGGCCTGAGGATGGGGCAGAGAACCGGGGAGTCTCCTGATGTTTCTGGCGAGGATGAATCTGTCTATAGGAGAGATTTTCCTTTTTTTTGGCAGAGTCTAGGTCGGTCGCTAGGCTGGAGTGCAGTGGCGCGATCTCGGCTCACTGCAACTTATGCCTCCCAGGTTCAAGCGATTCTCCTGCCTCAGCCACCTGAATAGCTGGGATTACAGGCACCTGCCACCACGTCCGGCTAATTTTTGTATTTTTAGTAGAGATGGGGTTTCGACATGTTGGCCAAGGTGGTCTCGAACTCCTGACCTCGTGATCCGCCTGCCTCCGGCCTCCCAAAGTGCTGGGATTACAGGCATGAGCCACCGCGCCCGGCCCGAGATTTTTCCATTTCAGGGCCGGAAGAGGTTGGGTTCTGACCCGTGTTTGTCTTTTTAGGAGTTACAAATAACATCGTTTTGGAAGCGCCCTTCCTAGTTGGCATTGAAGGTTCACTCAAAGGCAGGTATGTATTGAAGATTACATATTGGTCTCTAGTCCCGGACTTTATGAAACTGAAGAGAGTGGAACTGACATATACTTCTTTTTGAGACCAGGTCTCAGTCTGTCGCCCAGGCTGGAGTGCAGTGATGCCATCATAGCTCACTACAGCCCCTACCTTCCTGGCTCAAGCTATCCTCCACCCTCAGCCTCCGGAGTAGCTGGGACTACAGGCACACACCACGAAGCCTGGCTGATTTTTACATTTTTTTGTAGAGACCTTACTGTACTATATTGCCCAGATTTGATATTAGAACTTTTAAGTTTGCATATATGATGAGTTTGTAATAAGCGATGCCAGGGCTAATTCTTCAGTAACCCCAGAAACTGGAGAAAAATGCAACTAGAATGTTTTGTATTTGAATATTGCCTGGTAAGCTTTGCGTCCTGCCTCTACTATGATTTACAAGTGATAACAAAGTACTCAGTGAATTTGATATTACTAGGCTCCTGAAGTTTGAGTTTTGGCTTTAACAGACAATTTATTTCATTCTGACCAGTTTGATTCAACGTTAGGGTTAAAGTATAGGAATTCTTAGTTGCTTTGTCCAGTAACCAGAAAGATTTCTGCGGCTTGGACAAACTTGACAAACTGAGTTAGACCCACAGCTACCTTTCTTTTTCCTGAATAAAAGACACTCCCTATCACTACAGGAGTCCCCGTTCCCTTCCCATCTAAAGAGGACAAAGCAAGAAGGAGCAGTGGCCTGCTTAGAACTGGGTGTATTTTGGGGCTAGAAGCAGAAGCTTACTGAATGTCCTCTTGGAGAAGAGGCTAATGAATCTAGACCTGTGCTGTCCTATACTGTAACCACTAGTCATATGTAGCTATTATGTATTATTAAATCTGCATTGAGATACGCTGTGAATGCAGAATATACACTGGATTTCAAAGAGTTAGTACAGAAAAATTAATCATTTAAAAATATTGATTACATGGTAAAATGACATTTTTGATATACTGGGTTAAGTAAAATAAAAACTAATTTCACCTGTTTTTTATTTTTTAAAGCAAAACTAATAGAACATTTAAAGTTACTTGTGTGTCTCACATTATATTTCTATTAGACAATGCTAGTTTAGATACTTTGTAAAAAACTGGAAAGTCTCAGTTTTCACCAAACCCCTTGGGTTTCTGTATTGTGGAACAAAATGAGCTATAGGACTTGTGGAGAGGGTTATGAAATGGCACAGCTCAAGAAAACTTTATATTTTTTTTTAAGTGTATGTTCATTACCTAGATGGGATCAGAGAATGGATTAAGAAGATGATTATTGGGCCGGGTGTGGTGGACCATGCCTGTAATCCCAGCACTTGGGGAGGCCAAGGTAGGTGAATTACATGGTCAGGAGATCAAGACCATCCTGGCCAACATGGTGAAATATCATCTGTACTAAAAATACAAAAATTAGCCGGGCCTGGTGGCTCGCATGCCTGTAGTCCCAGCTCAGCTTTCTCAGGAGGCTGAGGCAGGAGAATCATCTGAACCCGGGAGGCAGAGTCGGCAGTGAGCTAAGATTGCGCCACTGCACCCCAGCCTGGGCAACAGAGTGAGGCTCTGTTTAAAAAAAAAAAAAAAAAAAAAAGAGGATGATTACTGATGCAGCTAAAAGAGCATACATTTTGGAGAGCAAAGACTTGGGCTCTTTTAACTTTACCTCTTAGTAAGGCATGTAAAATAAATTGATCCCTCTCAGTCTGTCATATTTGAATAATTCTAAAATGTATTCCTCCACCCCCACATTTAAACATTCTACAGTTGGCATGAGCCTCCTAGATTCATAGTCATAAAGGAGACAGATACAAGGTTACTTCTTCCATCTACATTTTTTTGTTCTCTTACTGGTAGAGGATTTATTGTAACTACTTTTAAAGAGGATTATTATAGTATGCTGACACATAGAGGTAGCTTTGTTACCCTTAGTATTTGTTGTGCTCAACAGCATATTTATTTAAATGGAATTTTGATTGTATTATAAATGAGGTACATTTTTTTCTAATTGTTACCGCAAATTCAAACACAAGAGAGAAGAGTATGATGAACCTCTGTCTACCTGTCACTAAACTAGAGCAGTTATCAACCCTTGGTGAATCTCTAATTTTATGTAAAATTATAGTTGGTGTGCTGGCTCACACCTGTAATCCCAACACTTTTGGAGGCTAAGGTGGGAGGATTACTTCAACCTAGGAGTTCAAGACCATCCTGGGGAACAAA